TCACTCCTCTCCTAGTGCCCCCCTTCCCCCCCCTTCCTCTCCCTCGCCACCGACCCATCCTTCCCCTCCCCGCACTATACTCACCCGGTATCCCCACACCAGGTCACGTGACAGCATCCTTGGTGCACCACCTCCCGTTACCCTCTCTACCTCTACCCTCCCCCCTCTCTCCCCCCTCCTTCGTCACTTCTTCCAGGCTGTTTTGCATCAAGCCCCTCATGCAACAGCCTCCTCAGCCACCTCCTCTCCAGCATCGACACCAGCAGCGGCACCAGCAGCGGCACAAGCAGCGGCCCCAGCAGCGGACCCCGCAGCGGGACCAGCAGCGGCAGCAGCAGCGGGACCAGCAGCGGCAGCAGCAGCGGGACCAGCAGCGGCGGCAGTGGCAGGAGCAACGGCGGCAGCAGCAGCGGGACCAGCAGCGGCAGCAGCAGCGGCACCAGCAGCGGCACCAGCAGCAGGACCAGCAGCGGCACCAGCAGCGGCACCAGCAGCGGCACCAGCAGCGGCACCAGCAGCAGCACCAGCAGTCATCCGCGCCTTCCACACCTCCCTCTCTGAGGACTCCCATGAGGAGATCCTTGACCTCCACCTTTATAACCCCTCGCTTCTACCCATCACGTTCGACCTTTCCGGCACACCTGTCTTCGCCTTCTCCTCTGCTCCCTCCATTTTCGTTCCTACCACGTATGAGGAGGCGATGGCGTGCCCTGACGCTCTACTATGGCTCGCCGCCATCAAGGAGCTGGAGACTTTTATCGGCAACTCCTCTTTTGTTGATGTGCCTCGCCCTCCCGCCCCTACGAACGTGGTGAAAGGCAAGTGGGTGTTTCGCGTCAAGCAGCTACCAGGGGAGCCGCCCGTCTATAAGGCTCGTTACTGCGCCAAGGGGTTCACGCAGCGGTATGGTTTTGACTTCTTCGATACCTTCTCCCCCACTGCCAAGCCTGCTACTGTTCGCGCCGTGCTCGACCTCGCCGCTCGCCTCAATATGGAGATCCACTCGATGGACGTTTCTAACGCCTTCCTGCAAGGCGTCCTCCGCGAGCTTATCTACATGGAGCGTCCAGCCGACTTTCACCTCCCCTTCCCAGCAGACTCTGTCTGGCAGCTGCGTCGACCTGTGTATGGGCTCCGACAGGCCCCGAGGGAGTGGCATGCTAAACTTGCCGCCACCCTTGCTGAACTTGGGTTCCGCACCTCCCGCTCTGACGCCAGCCTCTTCCTCCGCACTTCCCCCTCCCCATTTTACATCCTTGTGTATGTCGATGACATGATTCTGCTCACTGCCGACCTTGGAGAGTTGGAGCGTGTTAAGGCTGAGTTGGGTAGCCGTCTCAAGTGCAAAGACTTGGGAGAGCTGCAGCATTACCTGGGCATGACCATCACTCGCGACCGCTCCGCCCGCACCATCTCACTCTCCCAGGGTCATTACTTGCAGCAGGTCTTGGAGCGGTTTGACATGGCCCGCGGCGGCGCCCAACCTACACCTCTTTCTGTCGGGCACCACCTCTCTCCACCCACCTCCCCCTCATCGTCCTCCCATCCTTATCCCGAGCTCATTGGCTCCCTCATGTACGCCATGGTCTCCACTCGCCCTGACCTTGCCTACCCCATCAGCGTCCTCGCTCGGTTTGTTGGCGCTGGCAAGCATACGGACGAGCACTGGCAGGCTGCCAAGCGCGTCCTCCGGTACCTTCGTGGCACCAAGGACTATGTCCTTACCCTTGGCGGCCCTTCCCCACCTCTCCTCAGCGGCTACAGTGACTCCTCCTGGGCTGACTCCCGACCAGATCGTCGCTCCTCTCAGGGCTATGGCTTCTCTCTTGGCAGCGACCTCATCAGCTGGCGTTCCACGCGCTCCTCGGCTATCGCCCTCTCGTCCTGCGAAGCCGAGTTGTATGCCGCCACCATGGCTGCACAAGAGGCTCGCTGGCTCTCCTTCCTTCTTGAGGAGCTTGGTGCCCCCCAGCGCTGTCCCACCATTTGGTGTGACAACGCCAGCACCATTCACCTCACGAAGGATGCTGTGTTTCACGGGCGCTCCAAGCACATTGAGCTCCGTCATTTCTTCATTCGCGATCTTGTTCAGGCTGGGCACCTTCGGCTCGATAAGGTTGACTCCGCAGCCAACCTTGCCGACATCTTCACGAAAGCTCTTCCGCATGCGGCTCACTCTTCACTGATTCGTCTCCTTGGCCTTACTCCTCCAAAGTTGGTCTCCACTTCTTGATTATAGCCTTCCAGCTTTATGCATGTTGGGGGGTTGTGTTGTAATTCCATATTTTATACAACATGCATAGGCTAGACTTAGATGTGTAGCAGTCTTATAAATTGGGGGGTTGGTTAGTGTACCCTCCAACCACATTTTGTGGTTGGTGGGGATTGGTCCTTACCTCAACCAATCCCAACCAACACACATTTTGTGGTTGCTTGGGCCACAAGCAAACTCACCCATTGGCCAACTTATTGGCCAATAGGGTAAGCTTCCCTTTCATCTCTCTCTTGCTCATTGCTTGTACTAAAGAGCCTTTTGGCTCATTATTCAGTTTAACAATTCTTCTTTCTTACAGTTCACATTGTATGAGAGGGCGTTCACATTGTATGAGAGGGCGTTCACATTGTATGAGAGGGCGTTCACATTGTATGAGAGGGCATTCACATTGTATGAGAGGGCGTTCACATTGTATGAGAGGGCGTTCACATTGTATGAGAGGGCGTTCACATTGTATGAGAGGGCGTTCACATTGTATGAGAGGGCGTTCACATTGTATGAGAGGGCGTTCACATTGTATGAGAGCTCGTTCACATTGTATGAGAGGGCGTTCACATTGTATGTGAAAAACAATGACGTTGTTGAAAGAAGCGTGACAATAAGCGGTGAATGCGCCCCACCCACCAGAGAGAAAGAGCTTTCCACGCTAGCTCGAGCACGAGACACCCCAAGGCTGCTGGCGATGAATGAGCTGGCGGAGAGGTCAGGACTCGCACAGAACACTACCCTGGGCCATTTGGTGCCCCAGTAGAGGGTGGGGGGGAGGGATTGGTGTGCACTGTACTCACCAGAGAGAAAGAGCTTTCCACGCTAGCTCGAGCACGAGACACCCCAAGGCTGCTGGCGATGAATGAGCTGGCAGAGAGGTCAGGACTCGCACAGAACACCGGTCCATTCGGCAACACGCCCCCCTCCTCCTCTCCTGCTCTCTCCTCTGCCCGTCCCTCCTTTCCTGCTCTCTCCTCTGCCCGTCCCTCCTCTCCTGCTCCCTCCCCTCCTCTTGCCTCATCTCCTTCGCCGTCGTCTTGTGCTGCTGCTGCTCTCACTTGCTCCTCCACCCCTCCCTCCACCCTCCTTGCTGCCTTCTCCCCATCCTCCCCTACCCATGCGTCCCCGGTCCCCCCTGTCAAAGCAGCCGGTTCAGCAGGCCAACACCGGAGAGAGGAGGCAGAAGTACTAACCCACATTCTGTCACAATCCAACCTTCTCCTTAAAATTCCTCCAGTCCTCTCTACTTCTCTTCTCTCCTCCCTTCCTCCTCTCCCCTCTCCTCCTCTCTCCCCGCCCAGCTGTAACGCCAGGTGGAGCACTGGGCGGTCCTCCTTTGCTAGTAGAATGCTTTCCCGCGTGGCGAGATCAGTGACGTAGACCTGGGAGGGTGAGCAATGAAAGGGGGGAAACAAGAATGAGAGGCGGTCCTCCTGGGAAGGTGAGCATGAAATGAACAAAAAGTAGGGAAATTTCCGCGATGGAGTTTCTGGAAGTTTCTCAGAAACACCCCAAGTGGAGAGAGCAGCAAGGGGAAAGCCCTGGTGCCGCTTAGAACAGCTCAAAGCAGCAGAGTTGATTGGTCTACATAACGCTTTTCCAGGTAGCCAGATTGCCAAAAGAAACCTGTACTTTCCCAAGAATAGCACAGCACTCACACATGCATCCCTGCCCCCACTGTAGACACGTGTGAACTCCTCATTGGCTGCCACAGCCCACACCGAGTCCGTGTGCACCGCGTATGAGTGCACACAGCGCTGCTGGCCGAGATCCCACAGGCTGTGGAAGTCAGAAATCATGCCATCACAGAAAGGGAAAGAGAGGCACACACGAAAGGGAAAGAGAGCGTGCAATGAGTCAGTGTGCACAGTGCACTGCAAATGAGTGCACCGCACAGCACCGCACAACATGGCAGAGCGCACACCGAGTTTGTGTGTACTGTGTATGAGTGTACACAGCGCTGCTGCCCCAGGTCCCACAGCAGCCTGTGTCCAGGAGGAGCGTATGTTCTTTTAGAATTCTCACAAAACATATGCTGCTGCCCCAGGTCCCACAGCCTGTGTCCAGGAGAAGAAACACACACAACACAATGGAGCAAAAACTCGCACACATGAGTCCGAGCGCACATCGCACAGCATATGAGTGCACCGCTCCGCACCGCACAGCCCACACCGAGTCTGTGTGCATGGCGTATGAGTGCACACAGCGCTGCTGCCCCAGGTCCCACAGGTTGAGGAAGAATGGGAAAAGCACACACACACACACACACACACACACACACACACACACACACACACACACAGAGGGAGGAGAGGGTTCACTGTGTACGTGTGCACTGCGCTCAGTATCGCTCGACACCGCACACAGCCCACATGAACTCCGCCTGCACTGTGCAGAGCAGAGGAGTGCACACAGCGCTGCTGCCCCAGCCCAGGTCCCACAGACTAGGCGAATAGGCACACACCAGGGTTGATGCGCCATACACATGCAAGGTGACTTTTGAGTCGACTCAAAAGTCACCTCGAATAGGCACACACCAGGGTTGATGCGCCACACACATGCAAGGTGACGAACCAGGCGGGCTGATTCAGCTTAGATCTCATGCTGAATCAATCGGTTCAAGGCGGGTTCGAGGCGATCCAACAAGAACAAAAATGTTACAACGAAAGTTCAAAACAACAAGATGAGAACAAGGCGGTGAACAAGATGAGAACAGGAGTGCCTAGCTGCTGAACACTCACCGGATGATAGAGTCGGAAGAACCAGACAAACAGAACCTGCAAACAGGTGTGAGAGGAGGGAGGGAGAGAGGGGCGGACCGAGGGAGAGGGAGAGAGGGAGGGGGAGAGAGAGAGAGAGAGGGGGGGACCAAGGGAGAGGGAGAGAGGGAGGGAGGGAGGGAGAGAGGGGGGGACCGAGAGAGAGGGAGAGAGGGAGGGAGAGAAGGAGAAGATGTTACAGTGTTACAACCCACATCAGATAACCCACTCACTCATGAAAACATCTGGGCATGTAAAACCACGTGGGAGGGCACCAAGAACAACCCCCACTCACACCAAACTTTTGATTTCTATCTGCCCATGGGTTCAATGAAGATGACTTTTGAGGTGCATCACAAGAACAACCCCCACTCACACCAAACTTTTGATTTCTATCTGCCCATGGGTTCAATGAAGATGACTTTTGAGGTGCATCACAAGAACAACCCCCACTCACACCAAACTTTTGATTTCTATCTGCCCATGGGTTCAATGAAGATGACTTTTGAGGTGCATCACAAGAACAACCCCCACTCACACCAAACTTTTGAATTATGAATTCTATCTGCCCGAGCGTTCAATGAAGATGTGAGCGCTCACCTGCTTGGCGTGACTTTTGAGTCGACTCAAAAGTCACCTCGTGGGTTCAATGAAGATGTGACATGAGCGTGAACATGACATGCTCACATCACATGCTCTCATGAGGCCCCTTGAGCCTCATCTGCTTGGCGTCCGTGCGTTTGAAAGTCTTATTTGCGCGCTTGTGTTCCACTAACTCGTCTTCTTATACCCCTTTCCACTTACCTGCCTGTAGAGGGGGGGTTAATAAACATTCGCCATGAGTGAGTGCCAGTGGGGTCGGCAGCCAGCCAGAGCCCTAATGTCCTCCGTGTGCCCTTTCAGCTTCATCTGCTTGGTCCCCGTGCGAGATTCCCACATGCGAACCACCTCCTCACTCTCACCTCCTCACTCTCACCTCCTCACTCTCACCTCCTCGTTACCTGCCAGTCAAGCCACCAACCAGTCCACTCACCTGCCAGAGGGGCCGATAGCAAGAGCCCTAACGTTCTCCTCCGTGTGCCCTTTCAGCTTCATCTGCTTGGTCCCCGTGGGAGGGTCCCATACACAAACCACCTTCTCGCTCTCTCCTTTTTACCTGCCAGTCAAAACACCAGCCAGTCCAATTACCTGCCAGTGGGGTCGACAGCCAGAGCTCTGATGTTCTCCGTGTGCCCCTTGAGCTTCATCTGCTTGGTGCCTGTGCAAGGGTCCCACACACAAACCACCTTCTCGCTCTCTCCTTCTTACCTGCCAGTGGGGTCAACAGCAAGTGCCCTAATATTCTCCGTGTGCCCCTTGAGCTTCATCTGCTTGGTGCCTGTGCAAGGGTCCCACACACAAACCACCTTCTCGCTCTCTCCTTCTTACCTGCCAGTGGGGTCAACAGCAAGTGCCCTAATATTCTCCGTGTGCCCCTTGAGCTTCATCTGCTTGTTCCCCCTGCGAGGGTCCCACACGTGCACCTTCTCTTCTTCTCTCAAACTCACTTTTTTCGCCTTAACTCCTTTCCCTCACCTGCCCGAGGAATCAACAGCCAGAGCTCTGATGTTCTCCGTGTGCCCCTTGAGCTTCATCTGCTTGGTGCCTGTGCGAGGGTCCCACACACGCACCACCTTCTCTGTTTCACGCCATCACTCTTTCCCTTGCCTCCCCCCATAAGACCTACAGTCGCTCACCTGCCCGTGGCATCAACAGCCAGTGCCCTGATGTTCTCCGTGTGCCCCTTGAGCTTCATCTGCTTTGTCCCTGTGCGAGGGTCCCACACACGCACCACCTTCTCTGTGCCGCCCGAAACCACTACGCTACCGGCACTGTTCATCGCTACAGAATACACCGAATCCTTATGCCCCTTGGCCGGCACAGGGGAATACACACCCACTACCGGCCCCGCTGCTGCTCCTCCCCCCCCTGCCCCCCCTGCTCCCCCCGCTCCCCCTGCTCCTCCCCCTGCACCGCTTCCTCCTAGGCCTGAAGCAGCACCAGGGGCAGCAGGGAAAGCGGTAGACGTGGAAGCAGGGGGGACGGAGGAGGAGGAGGAAGGGGGAGCAGCGGAGGAAGTGGGGGGGAGGGATCCCCCAGACCAGGTGAGTGGCTGCGCTGCTGCGAGGTCCCAGATGAAGAGCTCTGAACCGAGACCAGCTGATGCCACTAGGGGAACCTGCGGGGACAGAAGAGAGGAGAGAGGGTAACGAGAGGAGGGGTGATGATGGGAAGGGGGAAGGGATCCCCCTGACCAGACGAGCAGCTGCGCTGCTGCTAAGTCCCAGATTAAAATGCTCTGAGCCAAGCCCAGCTGATGCCACTAGCGGGACCTGAGGACAATGGGGGGAGAGAGGGGAGAGTGGGGACTGTGTTGATAAGGCTAGAGTTGGAGAACGGGGAGGAAGAGGGAAGGAACCCCCCCGACCAGGTGAGTGGCTGTGCTGCTGCTAGATCCCAAATGAAGAGCTCTGAACCGAGACCAGCTGATGCCACTAGAGGGACCTGAGGGGAAGTTGGGGAGAAAGGGAGGAGCGTGAGGTGAAGGAAGACGGGAGAGGGGAGATCGTAGATACGAGTAGATATGAGCATCGAACCGAACTTAGGTTCGGTTCGAGAAGTTCGGTTCGAGATAACTCGAACCGAACTTTTTTACTCATGAAAAAAGTTCGCGCAAACTTTGCGGTTCGAAGTTCGAATGTGTCAAATTCGAACCCCGATGAGTCCGACTTAATTTCCCGCCAGAAAGAAATCCACGGGACTTTCCCGTCAAAAACGGGAAAGTCGTAGGGTTGGCTGCCATTAGAGCAGCCAACCCTAGTCTCGTAAACTTAGTTGAGCAGATCTAGATCTACTCTAGCACACCCATGCTTCCTCTCTACCGTTCTTTCACCACAATTCCTTATTAAGATGTGCCAAACGTTTACTTGTTTGATAAGAGGGTTGACAGATTAGTGCGCCGTCAGACATGCATGCGTTTTACATTTCGTTGTGCATCATATTAAACCCCAAACCTTACTAGGTTCGAGTTCACTCACATCGCGGGCAGCAGCGAGTGCAATGACGTAGTCGCTGTGGTGCCGCAGTGTGTCGGTGCATTCGCCCCTTGGTGAAAAGGCCTTCCACGTCTGTGACATGCACGCACACACAAGAAGGGCAGAGGGGAGAGGAATATTAAGGGCAGCTGGGAAGACGCTGCCCCAGCACGGGTGCTGGTCGTGCCGCAAGGTGTCGGAGCACTCGCCCCTTGGGTTGGGGAGAACGCCTTCCATGTGTGGTGCATGAAGATAAGACAGACAGGCAGAGAGGAATTGGCTGCTGGGAAAAGCTGGTAGACACAGCCACTGCCACAGCATGGTTGCTGCAGCATGATTATGATACACCCTTTGCACCCTGAAGGCAACACCTGAGTCAGCGTTACAGGTGCAATGCTGTGAACGACTGAATTGCCGCAACCATGCGTGAATGACTCACCTTGAGGGAGCCATCTGTCACTGAATATCATGGTAAGTACATTATATTCTGTAACTGTGCTAATTGGGGTGTAGAAGTGGTGTAGAGGTTGTCATTCAGTTTGTACACGCAGTAGTTGGGACATTGGGAGGAGCGCGAAGTTGGTAGTATGGGGGATTGCAAGGCGCTGTGGGCACAATTCCAGGGTCCTCGAGAGACAGGAAATCTGGCACAAGGCCAATCCAAGGCCAAGGCGGCTCGAGCCCAACCCATCACGCTGAGTATCTCGCGGCTGGGTGGCCTAGCATAAGTAAGCCTAGCCTAGCATAGAACTCTTGTTCTCTCGTTTGTTTACCAGAGCATAGTCGACTTATGTTACCGTTCTAAGCTACTGTAGAAAGGTGACTAACGCCACTCTTGGTAGCCAGCTGTGGGAGCCCGAATCTCTCGGGAGTGGCTGAGGAAGGAATGACTGTGCAAGGCGAAAAGGGAGAGAAGGGAAGTGAGCAGGAACCAGGGGAGCAAGCAGAGCAATGCAGAGACAGGGTGCAGGTGAAGGCCAGGAAGGGAAGGGACTCCGACACATCGGAGGAGCATGAGACGAGCGTGTCAGCCCCCACCAATACCACGTCATTGACCCAGTCTGTATGCGACTCGAACCTCGTCTGAGTCAACTCTACACGTGCAATGCTGTGAGGGACTGACACGCTGCAAGGCGTAATGCTGTGTGAGCGACTGACCTTGAGGGAGCCATCGGAGGAGCATGAGACGAGCGTGTCTGCCCCCACCAACACCACGTCATTCACCCAGTCTGTATGCGACTCAAACGTCGTCTCATACACTCCTCTTGGGGTTACCGCTACCGCACCTCCGTTCCCCCTTCCGTACCGATCCTCCTCTGCTGCTCCGGAACCCACCGAGCCTACTGGAACCCTCCACCGGTTTATGGTTCCGTCCCGGCTTCCTGTGAACACTACATCCTCGATACAAGCCTCCTCGTTATAGTCACCATCATTGCTGCTTCTAATGTGGCCGTGGGAATGCGAGTGTGGGTGAGACTGGGGCGACCTGGGTCCCTGATGGTGCAGGTACCATGCTGACGTGGCAGGAGGGGCGACGCAGACACTGTTCACGCCAGCACAGTGCTGCGAGGGGAGGGGATGGCGGGGGGGAGGGGGAGGGGTGGGGGGAGGGGACAGGGAGAACAGTGAGAGAGATGGGGGGGGAATAGGAGAATAGGAGGGAAAACAGGGGAGGGCAATAGGAGAAAACAGACACACACTGTTCACGCCAACACAGTGGTGCGAGGGCGGGGGAGGTGTCAATGGATGGAGGGAAGTGGGGACAGGGGGAAAGGACAAGGAGAGCAGTGAGAGAGATGGGTGGTGGATGGGAGGGGCGAGGCAGACAATGTTGACGCTTTTGAGGTTTCGAGGGGCGACAATGTCTCAAAACCTCACTTTCTACAATGTTGACGCTTTTGAGGTTTCGAGGGGCGACAATGTCTCAAAACCTCACTTTCTACAATGTTGACGCTTTTGAGGTTTCGAGGGGCGACAATGTCTCAAAACCTCACTTTCTACAATGTTGACGCTTTTGAGGTTTCGAGGGGCGACAATGTCTCAAAACCTCACTTTCTACAATGTTGACGCCTTTGAGACGTTGACATTGTCTCAAAAGCGTCTCATAGGAGAGACGTCTCAAAACCTCACTTTGTACAATGTTGACGCCAGCACAGTGCTGCGAGGGTGGGGGGGAGGGAGGGGTTGGGGTTTGAAAGTGGGGAGGAGGAGGGGGAAGAGGTCAAGCGTCTCATTTCCTCCGGGGATCTCCTTAAAGCCCAAAAAAAAAAAAAAAAAAAAAAAAACATTCCCCGAGTCCTATGTTCGTGGTGCGAATGACGAGGGGTACAGAAGAGTGATGTGCGGTAAGGGGCAAGGATCGGAGGTGAGGGGGGATAATGAGAGGTGCAACATGTCAAGGTGACTTTAGAAGGGTGAGAAGTCAATGGGGAGGAGGGGGATGGGGTGTGCGGGGGGGTAGGGATGTTGAAAGGTAAGGGGGGATAATGAGAAATATGCGGCGATAATGGCTGGTCAGGGGAGGGAAAGTGAGGCAAGGAACGTCTGCAGTTATGATCGAGTTTAGGTCTCCAGCTGGTAACATTTATAGCTCCACTCGACGTTCCCAACTCACGGAGGTATCATCCGAGTCGCGCACAACGAACGTGACTCTCCGCTCCTTGCAGGGCCGCGCCATCGCCCCACCGCCAGTCAGACCGATGTAATGCCACGGTTCAGTGTGGTTGACAGCGATTGAAAGGCTTTTCTACTCTATCATGTATCCCCAACTCACGGTGGTATCATCCGAGTCGCGCACGACGAACGTGACTTTCCGCTCTTTGCGGGGCCGCGCCATGGCCCCACCGCCGGTCGCCATGGTCGACATGGCTCCCGCGCTCGTCGACCGATGCATTACCGCGGTTCAGTGCGGTTGACAGCGGTTGATTGCTTTTGCCTGTGGTCGGAAGAGCTGAGATTGAAACGCAGTTACATGTGATATACTGTCCAGAGCCTGATCAGACGAGATCACCAATGGCGAATAGCAAATCCCCGTGTCTGCGAATTTATCTTGCCTCCTTTCAATCCCGGTTGGGCCCGGTCAAAGGAGTGAGCTGGTGATCAGGTAAGATTCAGCGGAAGCTAACCTCGAAAGAGTGTTTTGCGAAACGAGAAGGCCTCTGCTAATGGTTTGATCTAACATTACTCTAACGCGTATGCACTAATGAGGGTGAATTCCATAAGGTCGTCAACCACGAATCGACTGATCCACGGAACACGGAGAGCCTCGGGATTGCCAACAGATTCGCGACAGCACACATCCATATGCAATAAACGCCGCGTCTCAGATTCCCATTGAAGCGCCTGCGTAACTCGCAGCTTAAAGCACTGTCATTCTAGTGCAAACTCGGAGGCCCTGTTTGGCAGGCCCTTGGTCCGAGATGAAATGCTGGTCTGCTGAATCACAAAAACCATGAAGGACAGACCACGGAAAAGCGGTTTGCTGAATCTGTGGATATTGTGACTGTAACGAGGTGCAAGGGAAGAATGAGAAAGGAGGGTGTTCCTTAGAAGAAATAATTTGTTCTGTACGTTAAATAGATTATACTGGAATTCTTATTTAAACCACATTATATGCATTAAACAACCCTTCATCCACATATCATACAGGCGCATAATTTTACCAAGTAATTACCGTGATTTTTTAACTGACTGGTTTCATAAATTAGAAATTGCACACTTATGTATCAGCTTCTATTGATAGATATCACAGCACAGAGTTTGAGCGTAACACAGAACTGCTATATCGAGTCCGTGGTGGGGATTCAGCGGTGGATCACTTGGGACGAATAGATAGTATGCTCCAGACGACTTTTGCGGGGCCACCACGCGAGCTAGTAGCAAAATATCTGTAATTTTTTTGTTCAAGTTCCGAATGCTTCCTTGGGCTCTCCGCGGTTTAGTTCTTGCGCTGCTTCTCGCGCGAATGCAGTCAGCGCGCGGAGAGGAGCAAGGGAGAGAGCTACCGGAAAATCACCAGCGCATGGCGGACGGGAGGGGGGGGATGGCGGAAGTGAGCTGGAGTGTCGGGAATGAGCGGGAAATCAGGGGAGAGAACAACGACATGGCGGAAATCACCAGAGAAGTGGCGGAGGAGAGCCAGGGATTGGCGGGGGAGAGCAGTAGAACGGGGCGAGGGAGTTTGGAAACGACAGAAGCGAACAAATCAAGCTACAATCACACTCCCTCCAATCACACTCGCGCAGGAAAGCGCAAACGGGTTATTCCAGGAGACGTGCTGCTAGAGCTGGGTGAAGCGGCACCCACCGGGTTCAAACGGCTGCTGAGCGTCGCGGGCGTGCTGCCTGAAATTCACCGCCGCCTGCGGCGCAGCAACGCGACCGTGCTCGCCCCCTCGGATGCGGCCCTAGCAGCCCTGCTGCCCTCGGTTCTCCCCCTGGCGCTGTGGAGACTGGAGGCCTTGGCGCTATTCCCCAGACAGCGCCAAAACAATCTGGTATTCCCAAGAAAATTAAAGGCCACGCAACAAGGGGCGAGAAGAAGGGAGAGTTCAGCTGCAGGGCTGGGTATTCGAAACGAGCAGCAGCTGGGTGAATTGCGGCAGGGTTCGGCCCAACAGCTAGGTTCGGCAGAGAGAAGGGATGACTCGTCCCAACAGCTAGGTTCGGCAGAGAGAAGGGAGGACTCGTCCCAACAGCAAGGGTCGGCAGAGAGAAGGGAGGTCCTGAGGGAGATAGCCCTGTGCCATGTGATCCCCGCTAGGGTTTCCCTCCTCCAGTGGCGCGGCGAGCACCGATCGCTGCAGGGCACTCGCCTTAGTCTTGCATCCTCTGGGCTCCGATTCATTGTATCCAATGTGCATGTATCGAGTGTAGGTGGGTACAGTGTGCCTGTGTCGAAGGTGGATGCGGGCAGTGTGCTTGAATCGAATGGCACTCTATCCAGTGTGGCTGTAACGGTGGGCGCCACTGTAGTCACGCAACGCTTGGTGGTGTACACTGTAGAGGGGATTCTGCTGCCACTGCTGCTGGGAGCGAGTGTGAGTATAGATGGTACAAAACAGAACAACGATGCAAGCAGGAGGGAGAGGGGGAGTTGGAGGGAGAGAGGAAGGTGGAAGGACGATTCCGATCAAGGGGTTGACGATCCTGCGGCCGTTGAGATCAAGAACATTGAGCAGCCGCTACAGGAGTTTCTGGACAGGCGCAGTGGTGGTAAGACTTGGATTGTGGTGTGATGGATGGATGGATGGATGGATGGATGGTAAGACTTGGAGTGTGTTCCTACTGTCTGATTCGTTGTTCCCTTTCTACATAGTCTTGCCCTATTGTAGTTCCTTCCTGTCGTCCATTCCAAAGGTGGTCACTCGAGAATTACGTGTCTCTGCAGCTCGAGTCAATTCAAGTTTCTCGGCAACAACCATCAGTGGCGCTGGTGTTATGGTTCTATTGGTCTTGCTGGCTTATCGAATTAGATACAAGGTAAGCATTTACCTTTCTTATGAGTTGTCGAACATTTCGAGCCTTTTCCTCTTGTTCCACACATTCGCCTAATTACTATTTTGGTTCCTTCTATGGTTTTACCGGGCCATATATGGTTATGACATGTGATTGTTGATATTGGAGGGTTATTTTTTATTTGAAGGCGGTTCTGCGTCAAACTAAAGGCTGTAAGAGAGTTCAAAAGACAAGCTAATTTATAGGCTTTGTTTATTACGCTGCTTGACATAAGCTCTCATCAGCGCTCCGCCATTCGATCCCAACTAGCCAAACGAAGCTATTTGTTGGCGGGGAAAAATGGGGACCTCGTGGGTGCCTAATCAGAAAACTGCCTGTTCGGAACATCTCTCCAAAGTCGAAATCCTGGATGTGCCATGTCAACGTTCTGGGTGTGTCAATATTCACGTACGGAAATTGAAACAAACTTCCACGTTAATTTGATGGATACGCAGCTCCTGGTAGGGAATCTGTACTGAGGTCGACTTTCGCTCGAAACGGAATTCACACGGAATTGAACATGATGGGGATCCGTGGAGCGCAGATACAGCCTTGAAGATTCCAATTACTCAATTCCGTAATTCCCAATGCTTCCATCTTCCAGATTCAGTAACCGAAGAAATGAACCTCGCCTGATGCTTTACCAGCAATAAACACCGCATAGAACCTGAATAACGCATCGAGCTGCTCGCTGACTGGCATCGTGTGCGGGAGTAGCAGTGCGCGAGAGTTGCCTTCTCATTGCGCGTTGCGACACACTTTTATCGCTAGAACATCCTCGCATTCACGCACTATAACGTCAACGCGTCACGGTATAATCGGCTAATCGGCTGGAAGAATGTTGAAACCCGCGGAGCACCAGGTGGCCGGTCATCGCTTCGAGGGTGAGTCGAGGGAAGGTGGAAGGAAATCTGCCGCGACCCGCGGAGCAACAGGTTGCCTGTCTCGAGTCGAGGGTGCGCGAAGGGAAGAGGAAAGGGGGAGGGAGAGAAGGGGGTTGGGTGGAAAGGGGGGAGGGCGGAAAGGGAGAAGGGAATTTGCCGCCGCAACCCGCGGAGCAGCAGGTGACTGGTCACCGCTTCGAAGGTGAGCGAAAGGGGAAACGGGAAGGGGAAGGGAGGGAGGGGGAAGCGGAAGGGGAAGGGGAGGAATGGGAGAATGGGTTCTCCAGGTGGCTGGTTACCGCTTCGAAGGTGAGCGAAAAAGGAAGACGGGAGGGAGAGGGGTGTAGGGAACGAGGTGGGTACGCGACCTACCCACCACTTTGTGTAGGGACCGCGAGTACATGAGACAACAAAGAGTGAGAGGGAGAGGGGGAAATGGCTGAGGTGGATTGTCTGTTTTGAGTCGGCTCAATACACGGGAGGGGTGGTACGAGGTGGGGTAGGTGACCGCGAGTGCATGGGACAGAGAAGAGTGAGAGGGAGAGCTGTGGAAGGTTTTCGTTTGTCTCATGGTGGATGGTCACTGTTTGAAAGGGCAAAAAGAACAAAAAGGGCAAAAGGGGCAAAAAGGGCAAAAAGGGCAAAAAGGGCAAAAAGGGCATTATTTAACTTCTGCTGGATGGTCACCTCAATTTTTCAACCTTTGCTAATGACACTCACAGTTGACTGACCTTGCAGAGACGTTTCTCACTGCCAAATATATAATACAAGTCCCTCCAAAAAGGAATCTCAACCATCCCCCCCCGTTCCCTCTCCCATTTCTGCTCTCTGCCTCTCCAATCCCACCAGAGGGGCGTCAGGGCTCGTTAGTAGACGATTCAGGGTGCTTCTATAAGCCGATGCAAGCCGGGGAGCGCGGCGAAAAAGAGCTTAAATTTTACACACGGATCGCTGCGGACACGTCTATACCTCCGGAGATTAAAGCCATGTTCCCCGCGTGCCACGGGAGTAAGGAGGTGCTGCTGCCGCCGTCACACACGCCGTCTGCTGCTCTTGCTGCTGGCGCCGTTGCTGCTGCCTCTGCTTCAGCTGCCGCTTCTGTTGCTGCCGCCGCTGGTGGTGCCACTGCTGGTGCTGCTGATGCCAGTGGGGAGCAAGGAAAAGAAGGGACAGAGCAACAGCTTACACCAGTCAATATCCTCCCACCATCATCCCACCATCCACCCACTTTCTGTGACCAATGCTATGATCCTGGACCTCATTACACTCTGGCCGGTCGTTCCCTTTCATTTTCTTCTCCGCTCCTTCCCTCCCCCCCTCCTCTCCCTTCCCCCCATTCCCGCCTCCCCCCTTTTTTTCTCACACGCACGCATACAAGCTATCTCAAAACGCTCTTGCCTTAGTCACACTCTCGAGATACTAACAACCATATTAACACCCCTAGACACCTTAAATAGAGTCCATGCCTATCGCGATAGTAGGCTGAATCTGTTTTTGTAGAATTCTCAAAAAACAGATACACCCGTAGACACTTTTTATAAAGTTCATGCCTATCGCGATTGTGTCACCCATCAGCAGCATCCCCAACAAGCTTCAGACTGTCTCAAAACAGGTCGTTTTTGAGGCGCCTCAAAATTGAGGTCGTTTTTGAGGCGCCTCAAAAACGACCCATGAGCAGCATCCCCAACAAGTTTCAGACTGTCACAAAACACCCAGATTCGTCTTTGGAGGCGCCTCAGGAGTCTCTAACATCTTTCTAGTCCATCAATCCCAGATTGGTATATGACGCGTTTTCCTTGACTCCTTTCAACTCCTCCCTGCCCTTTCTCCCACCCCTTCTCCTCCAATTCACCCCTCTCTTCTCTCGTTTTTTCCTCCTCCCATAATTCACCCTCTCCTTCTCTGCTCTGCTGTTCCTCTCATCCTCTCCTGCTCTCCTCCTCCTCTCAACTTCACCTCTCAATCGCAACCTACCACTTCCGCAACGATGGAGTTTTTTATGTGTTGAGTTGGCATGCCTCTGTGTGTGGATGAATGTGCATGAATGTATGTGTGTGTAGGCTTGTGAGTGTGTGAATGTATGTGTGCGAGTGAGCGTGTCTGTACGTATGTGTGGCTTATGCAACAATGGTTTTTTGGATGTGCTGTGTTGCCATGCACCTCTGTGTGTGGATGAATGTGCATGAGTGTGTACGTGTGGGCATGTGAGTTCATGTGTATGTGTGTGTGGCTTGCACAGCAATGGATGTTTGGATTCGTAATGCTGGCATGTACCCACGTGTGTGCAGACGTGTGGATGCGTAAATGTGTGAATGTGTGTGGGTACCTTCATGTGTGTGCATGGAGTGTGCGTTCAATGCGATGGCCGTATGATGGTGTGTTGTTGCTGTCTCATTCATCTAGCACAATTTCTTGTAATGGAGGACCTCACAAGGAATTACACCAAGCCATGCATCATGGATATCAAGGTAAGGGGGGAGGGGGGGAGGGGGGGGGGGACCCATGCTCTTAATCCACGTATGTGAACCATGCATGTGAACCATGCATGTGAACCATGCATGTGAACCATGCATGTGAACCGCGCATGTGAACCGCGCATGTGAACCGCTCAAAAGTGATCTCAAAAGAGAATTCTCAAAAGTGATCTCAAAAGAGAATTCTCAATAGTGATCTCAAAAGAGAATTCTCAAAAGTGATCTCAAATGAGAATTCTCAAAAGTGATCTCAAAAGAGAATTCTCGAAAGTGATCTCAAAAGAGAATTCTCAAAAGTGATCTCAAAAGCGAATTCTCAAAAGTGATCTCAAAAGAGAATTCTCAAAAGTGATCTCAAAAGAGAATTCTCAAAAGTGATCTCAAAAGAGAATTCTCAAAAGTGATCTCAAAAGAGAATTCTCAAAAGTGATCTCAAAAGTGATTTCAATATCTCCCCCGGTGCTTCTCCTCCCCATTCCCCCCTCCTCCTCCCCTCCTCTCACGCAAGTGCATGGGGTGCAAGACATGGTATGAAGGAACCCCTTCATACCATGTCAATGGTGTATGGGCTGATATGATACATGAGCTGCATCTCGTGCATTCTGTATCCCTTTAAGAAGCCTGTCATATTTCGATTTGATTGTGTAGCTTGAGCCAGCCTGTTTGTCCCCTCCTGTGCATCCACTCCCAACTTCGAGCCCTGCTACATGCAGATGGGGCGCAAGACGTGGTATGAAGGGGCTCCTCAGAAGTACATCGACAAATGCCTGTGAGCTTCTTTGCCTGTGAGCTTCTTTGCCTGTGAGCCTCTTTGCCTGTGAGCCTCTTTGCCTGTGAGCTTCTTTGCCTGTGAGCCTCTTTGCCTGTGAGCCTCTTTGCCTGTGAGCATCTTTGCCTGTGAGCCTCTTTGCCTGTGAGCCTCTTTGCCTGTGAGCCTCTTTGCCTGTGAGCCTCTTTGCCTGTGAGCCTCTTTGCCTGTGAGCCTCTTTGCCTGTGAGCCTCTTTGCCTGTGAGCCTCTTTGCCTGTGAGCCTCTTTGCCTGTGAGCCTCTTTGCCTGTGAGCCTCTTTGCCTGTGAGCCTCTTTGCCTGTGAGCCTCTTTGCCTGTGAGCCTCTTTGCCTGTGAGCCTCTTTGCCTGTGAGCCTCTTTGCCTGTGAGCCTCTTTGCCTGTGAGCCTCTTTGCCTGTGAGCCTCTTTGCCTGTGAGCCTCTTTGCCTGTGAGCCTCTTTGCCTGTGAGCCTCTTTGCCTGTGAGCCTCTTTGCCTGTGAGCCTCTTTGCCTGTGAGCCTCTTTGCCTGTGAGCCTCTTTGCCTGTGAGCCTCTTTGCCTGTGAGCCTCTTTGCCTGTGAGCCTCTTTGCCTGTGAGCCTCTTTGCCTGTGAGCCTCTTTGCCTGTGAGCCTCTTTGCCTGTGAGCCTCTTTGCCTGTGAGCCTCTTTGCCTGTGAGCCTCTTTGCCTGTGAGCCTCTTTGCCTGTGAGCCTCTTTGCCTGTGAGCCTCTTTGCCTGTGAGCCTCTTTGCCTGTGAGCCTCTTTGCCTGTGAGCCTCTTTGCCTGTGAGCCTCTTTGCCTGTGAGCCTCTTTGCCTGTGAGCCTCTTTGCCTGTGAGCCTCTTTGCCTGTGAGCCTCTTTGCCTGTGAGCCTCTTTGCCTGTGAGCCTCTTTGCCTGTGAGCCTCTTTGCCTGTGAGCCTCTTTGCCTGTGAGCCTCTTTGCCTGTGAGCCTCTTTGCCTGTGAGCCTCTTTGCCTGTGAGCCTCTTTGCCTGTGAGCCTCTTTGCCTGTGAGCCTCTTTGCCTGTGAGCCTCTTTGCCTGTGAGCCTCTTTGCCTGTGAGGCACGCACTCAAACAGGGCGCACCCACAGGGTATGCACCTGAAGAGACTTCATTCAGACACGTTATGAAGGGGATCCTCAGAGATACATCGACATATGCTTGTGAGCCTCTTTTCATCAACGGTTTTTTTTTTTTTTTCCCCTCTGTGTACAAGTTTACAATTATGTGCGAGGAATCAATTCTGTCCAACAAAACAACCTCGATGCAGCTGAATTCCAGTCAAGCACATGATTCAAAGCCGCTTTCTCCCTTCCTTTTCCCGCCCCATTCTCTAGCTACGCATGCACAAATGCAAAAATTTCACCCTGCAGCAGGGTGTGGGCAAAGAGGTGGGCGATAGCAGTAGGGTAGCAGAAGGATGGGGAACGCTGGGTTACATTACAGGGTGGCAGGCATGCAGGTGGACGATAGCAGCACTGATTTTTGAGGCGCCTCAAAAATCGTCTCATAGCAGCAGGGTAGCAGACGGATGGGGAACGCTGGGTTACAGGGTGGCAGCATGCAGGTGGACGATAGCAGCACTGACGCCATGTGGAGGGCTGCTTACGGCTGGAACAGGAGCCTCACATTCTTATACCAGTTCCACTCTCCCCCTGCCTGCCTGTGCTTTCGCAGGGTCAAGACGCCACAAACACAAGTGGAGCGCTGGGTTACAGGGTAGCAGGCATGCAATGCATGTGCAGGACAGCAGCAGTGGCAGTGTTGTCATGTGATGTGACTCGTAGCTGCTACTCCCGTCTCTTCCCTGCCTCTTCCCTCCACAGGGTCAAAGACGCCACCACCACGTGTGGAACCTTGGGCTACAGGGTAGCAGACATGCAGGTGCAAGACAGCAGCACTGGCGCCATGTGGAGGTGTCATGTGACTCATGCTACCGCCCACCCCTTGTGTGTGTGCATGCACTCGCAGGGTCAAAGACGCCACCACCACATCTGGCACTCTAGGCTATAGAGTAGCGGGCATGCAGGTGCAAGACAGCAGCACTGGCGCCATGTGGAGGGCTGCTTTCGGTTCAGCTTATAAATAACCTCACCTTCTCTCTCTTTTCCCTTCCTTTACCTCTCCACACTCCTGTACAGGGTCAAAGACGCCACCACCACAAGCGGATCGCTGGGTTACCGGATAGCAGGCATGCAGGTGCAGGACAGCAGCACTGGCGCCATGTGGAGGGCTGACCGCAAGTGGTGCCAGAACCTGACCAATCAGCAGATGCCAGCTGTCTTCCAGCTCTTCTTCTCCTCCACTCCCACCGCTGACGCCCCTGCCATCGATGCCATTGCTGCTGCTGCTGGTGCTGGTGATGCTGCTGGTGCTGCTGGTGCTGCTGGTGCTGCTCTTAGTGCTGAGGCGAAGGAGAGAATGAGGGGCGTTCTGTGTGGAGAGGGAGGGCTCTTGGCACAGCTGCAGACACTGAGAAACTGGTAAGTCTTTCCTGCTGCTGGTGCTGCTGCTGGTGTTGCTCTCAGCGCTGCGGCGAAGCAGAGAATGAATGGCGTTCTGTGTGGATTAGGGCTGCTAGCACAGCTGCAGGCACTGAGGGACTGGTGAGTCTTTCAATTTGGAACTTCTTTCATCAGGAGACCTTCTTCCTTTCGCCTCGTCTCCTCTGTGATCCTCCTCTGTTGGGAGGATAGCAACACTTCTGCTTGAGAGGCCCATAGTACCTATGCCCCCTCGCTCGCCCCACCATTGCCCCTCACAGGTTTTCCAGCAGACACGTGATAAGAGTGAATGTTTTAGACGTCTAAAAAAACTGCAGTACCTATGCCCCCTCGCCCGCCCGCCCCACTCACGTCCACCATTGCCCCCTCACAGGTTCGCTCAGCAGACGTCTTTCCACTTCCACTCCATCACTATCCTCCTCATTTACTCATCTAAGCCCACACTGCTGCTTGAGAGGTATCTGCCAGGGCTGCTTTGACCAATCCCTTCCTCTGCTTTCACGCCCCTTGTCGCTCCCCTCACAGGTTCGCCCAGCAGAGGTCTTTCTATTTCTTCTCCGCCTCCATCCTCCTCATCTACACTACAAGCCCAGAACTGCTGCTTGAGTCGCGTTTTGAGTCGACTCAAAACACCTCCCTCCTCCTCATCTACTCTATTCCCCCAGAACTGCTGCTTGACAGGCATGGCATCCGCTGGGAATGCATCACAAGGTGACTTTTGAGTCGACTCAAAAGTCAACTGCTGCTTGACAGGCATGGCATCCGTTGGGAATGCATCACACAATCCCTTCCCCTGCTCCTAACCCCCTTTTCGCCCCCTCACAGGTTCACCCAGCAGGCATCTTTCCATTTCTTCTCCAGCAGGATTGAGAGACATGGAATCCGCCAGAAATGCATGGAATCCGCCAGAAATGCATGGAATCCGCCAGAAATGCATGGAATCCGCCAGAGATGCATGGAATCCGCCAGAGATGCATGGAATCCGCCAGAGATGCATGGAATCCGCCAGAGATGCATGGAATCCGCCAGAGATGCATGGAATCCGCCAGAGATGCATGGAATCCGCCAGAGATGCATGGAATCCGCCAGAGATGCATGGAATCCGCCAGAGATGCATGGAATCCGCCAGAGATGCATGGAATCCGCCAGAGATGCATGGAATCCGCCAGAGATGCATGGAATCCGCCAGAGATGCATGGAATCCGCCAGAAATGCATCAAACAATCCCTTCCCAACCCCCCTTGTCGCTCCCCTCACAGGTTCGCCCAGCAGACCTCCTTCCACTTCTTCTCCGCCTCTATCCTGTTGATTTACGAGGCCAACACTCCTGAACACAAGGGGGCAGAGGCGAAGGAGGAGGGGAAGGAGGCGGGAAGCGGTGCTGCCCACCCTCCCTCTCTGAGGCTGGTGGACTTTGCCCATGCCATCGATGCGCATGGGAAGGTGGATGAGAACTTCCTGCAGGCTGTGGATGGGGTTATGGCAGCGTGGAGGGTGGTATTGGAAGAAAAGTAAGTTAAACAGTTATGCACTTTGATGGGCAGGGCAAGGTGGATGTGAACTTCCTGCAGGCTGCGGATGGTGTTATGGCAGCTTGGAGGGCGATATTGGGAGAGGAGTGAGTCAAGTAGTCTCGTTGCCCGTGGATGGTCACAGCCGCCCTTCTTTTTTTAGGCTGGTGGTATTAGCCCATGCCATCGATGGGCATGGGGAGCTGGATGAGAACTTCCTGCAGGCTGTGGATGGGGTTATGGTGGCTTGGATGGGAATTTTGGAAGAGTAGTGAGTCAAGTCTCTCTAGGAACAACCACCCTCCTGATGGTACAACCACCCCCCCGTCTCTGAGGCCGGTGGACTTTGCACGTGCCATCGATGTGCGTCGGAAGGTGGATGAGAATTTTCTGCATGCTGTAGATGTGGTGGCAGCAAACATGGCAGCCTGGCAGGGAGTGGTGGGGAAGTAGTAGGTTCATCCATTTAGCGAGCATGGGGAGGTGGATGAGAACACTGCAGGCTGTAGCTGCTGTGTTGGCTGCTTGGCTGGTGGTGGTGCTGGGAGAGAGAAGTGAGTCAAGTCACTGGGTGAGAAGAAGATAGGCGCATGATGGGCACAAGGGCATTCTGGAGGCTGGCAGATTTGTGATTTCGCCTGCATGGTAACCAGGCATCATGTGTTCCTAGGTCATATGGAATGATTGTGATTGAGAGCGCAATGAGCAGAAAACGGCTTCAGTTAGGGTGGTTGGTTGCATTGCATTTTTTAGATAATGCAAGCAGCAAAAACCTCCTGGAGTTTCAAAAGCACCAAGAGGAAAGAGGTCCCACCGAGAATTGAACTCGGGCATTCAGATTCAGAGTCTGACATCATAACCGCTAGATCATGGGACCACGTCTTTTCTGTAAACAAAAAAATTCACAAAATGAGCCAACAAAATGTGCATTGCTGGCAGGAACCTCAACTGCAAGCTTCATTTCTTTTAAAACTCCACGATACACTATTACGGTACAGTCAACAGCCCCCCTTGCACACATCCTTCCACGACCAAGGAAACTACAGTGCCAGACTAAGCTTTCTTCAAGCCAACGGCAGAACCAACGGGTGGAGGGATAGGGCGAACAGCAGCTAGAAACCGGTTCACAGCCTCCCTCACTCTCTTCTTCAACCCCTCCTCCACACACTCCACCTCCCCTCCCCCCTCTCCCACTCTCACACTCACTTCCACCCCATCCACACTCACTCTCAATCCCTCCTCGCCTTCCCTCCTCACTCCCCCAAACATACTCTCTAGTACTCGCTCCAAGTGCTTCATCTCGTCCGCTCTAAGCCACCTCCACTTCCCTCCTTCCTCCCCCTCTCCCTCCCCCTCCCCTTCTCCCTCCCCCTCTCCCTCTCCTTGTCCCTCCTCTCCCTTTGCCAGAACCTTCAATCTATCTTCCTCCTTCCCCACCTCTTGAATTTCCTGCTTGCCCCCTCTGCCCTCCTCGCCCTTCTCTTTCCCCACCTCACTCCCAATGCCAACCAAAGCTCCTGTCTTCTCATCTACTCCTTCTCCCTTCACCATCTTCTCTCCTCCCTCCCTTCCCCCACCTTCCACCTTTACTCCTCTTCCTCCTCTCCCTCCACCTGCTGACGTCAGCAGCGTCAGGTCCTTGCCAGTCTGCCGCCCGGATTCCAGCTGCAGAATCAGAGCCACAATCGAATCTGCCAGCATATCTCCCACAGGCTCGGAAGCCCACTGCAGCACCACCCTGTCTTCCCCCTCCCTCGCTACAATCACCTTCTCATGCACCTGCACTGCAGGCACGCCCGCATCCTTTATAAGCACGACCGAGTCGAACAGCATCTCCAGGCGCCTTATAATGGGTTCGAACGGGCCTATATAGGGTACGGACTGCCTCTGAACCACGGTGCCGAGACCAAGGGAGGTGTAGGAGGGGAGGTCCTGAGGGTCTAGTAGCTGGTAGTTAAAGCCCTTGCGCACTAGCAGCCCACTTATGGTTCGCCCTGCCGCTGCTCCCCCTGTTGGTTCTGCTGCCTCTGTTGCACACCCCCCCATAGCACCTCTTCCCGCTGCATCTCCCCCTGCTGCTTCTGCTCCCGTAGTCGCTTGGGTTGCACCTGCTTTGCTTGATGCTATTGCTTGAGCAGCACCACCACCATCACCAGCACCAGTACCGGCAGCAGCGGCATCACCACCCTCCCCCTCCCCATCCTCCTCCCCACCAGGCGCCATAACACCCCCCTTTTCCGCGATCCTCCCCACCACCTTCGCAATCTTCTCTCCTTTGAAAAAAAACTCCACGCCCTGGCAATTCTTCGGCGTGTGTATGCTCGGCGGCGCCGGCAAATCCTTGAAATGCAGCGCAAGCTTGGCTTTAAGCCGCGCCATCTCGTGTGCCTCCCCGTGAACCAGCACGATGTGGGGAGGGCGGATCTGCTCCAGGAAGTGCGAGGTCTGCGGGTAGTCGGCATGGGCTGCGAAGGACACGTAGTGGACTTTCATGCGGAGCGGAACGGTGGCGCCGGATTGAAGAGTCACCTCGTTGGGCTCGCTGAGAATGGTCTTGGCTAGCGTGCCTTCCACCACATACCCTGGGATCAAGCACGTGTTCCTGGAAGGGACGGGTAGCGGAAGGGGGGGAAGAGAAGAAAGGAGAAGAGGGACTGTGGCGCCGGATTGGAGAGTCGCCTCGTTGGGCTCGCTCAGAATGGTCTTGGCCAGCGTGCCCTCCACAACATATCCTGGGATCAAGCACGTGTTCCTGCGGGAAGGGTAGCGGCGGGGGAGGGAGAGGGAGGAGCGAACATGGGGCGAGAGGAACTGTGGCGCCGGATTGGGGAGGCACCTCGTTGTGCTCGCTCAAAATGGTCTTGGCTAAGGTGCCTTCCAGGACATACCCTGGGATCAAACACGTGTTTCTGGGGGGAAGAAGGGGTGGAAGTTGGGAGGAGGACGTGGTAGAGTGAGTGAGGTCGTTTTTGAGGCGCCTCTTTTTTGAGGCGCCTCAAAAACGACCTCAAGGGGTGGAAGTTGGGAGGAGGACGTGGTAGAGTGAGTGAGAAGGGCGAGAGGCATGGTGGCACCAGGCTGGAGAGTCACCTCGTTGGGCTCGCTCAGAATGGTCTTGGCTAGCGTGCCTTCCACCAGATACTTTGGCACCACATGTCAAACAGTTGCCGGGATAAGCCGCTCTGCAGCCCTCCAGGACTGGCCATGACCACAGCCAGGCCTGAATGTTCATACTCATCTAATCTTCTCATACCCCTCTCCTCACCTCGCATCTTGGCACCACATGTCAAACAGTTGCCGGGATAAGCCGTTCTGCAGCCCTCCAGGACTGGCCATGACCACAGCCAGGCCTGAATGTTCATACTCATCTAATCTTCTCATACCCCTCTCCTCACCTCGCATCTTGGCACCACATGTCAAACAGTTGCCGGGATAAGCCGCTCTGCAGCCCTCCAGGACTGGCCATGACCACAGCCAGGCCTGAATGTTCATACTCATCTAATCTTCTCATACCCCTCTCCTCACCTCGCATCTTGGCACCACATGTCAAACAGTTGCCGGGATAAGCCGCTCTGCAGCCCTCCAGGACTGGCCATGACCACAGCCAGGCCTGAATGTTCATACTCATCTAATCTTCTCATACCCCTCTCCTCACCTCGCATCTTGGCACCACATGTCAAACAGTTGCCGGGATAAGCCGCTCTGCAGCCCTCCAGGACTGGCCATGACCACAGCCAGGCCTGAATGTTCATACTCATCTAATCTTCTCATGCCCCTCTCCTCACCTCGCATCTTGGCACCACATGTCAAACAGTTGCCGGGATAAGCCGTTCTGCAGCCCTCCAGGACTGGCCATGACCACAGCCAGGCCTGAATGTTCATACTCATCTAATCTTCTCATACCCCTCTCCTCACCTCGCATCTTGGCACCACATGTCAAACAGTTGCCGGGATAAGCCGCTCTGCAGCCCGCCAGGACTGGCCATCACCACGGCCGGGCCTGTGTCCTCAAACTCAGCGATGCTCCTCAGCGACTTGATGAACCGGAAGTCAAAGGGATTCGACACCTCCGCCTGCTCGCGAATGCGGTCGTTCATGGCGCTTAGGTAAGTGCTGAGAAGGAAGGAAGGAAGGGATGAGAAGTGGTGGGAGTGGGGACGTGAGTCAACTATGGTCCTCAGCGACTTGGTGACTTTTGAGTCGACTCAAAAGTCACCTCGTTGGATGTGAGTCAACTATGCTCTGAAGCGACTTGATGAAGCGGAAGTCAAAGGGCTTCGACACGACACCTCCGCCTGCTGGCGAATGCGGTCAATCATGGCGCTCAGTACGTGCTGGGATGAGGGAAGGCAGGAGGGAAGTGGGGGGGAGTGGGGGGGAGTGGGACGGGGGATGATTTGAGTCAAAAGGGTTCGACACCTCCGCCTGCTGGCAAATGCGGCCATTCATGGCGCTCAAATATGTGCAGGGATGAGGGAGGGCGGGGGGGGGAGTGGGAGGGGGGATGATTTAAGTCAAAGGTATTTGACACCTCAGCTTGCTCCCGAATGCGGTCGTTCATGGCGCTTAGGTAAGTGCTGGAAGGAAGACAAGGGGCAAGAACCATGGTTCTCCGTGCGAGTGGCGAGGCATAGAGCAGCGGCACGTGCTGCACCTCTGGGTGCAGCACAGCCCCACTCTGCACCGCTCACCACCATGCGCTAATCACTGTGTGACTTAATCCCTCACTCACCGGTACACAACCATGGTCTTCCTTGCGAGGGGCGACACAGAGCAGCGGCACGTGCTGCATCTCAGGATGGCCTCTCCAGTGCTCGTCCAGAATGAGTAGCAGCTCCTGTGCTCACCACGGCACAGCACCACTCTGCACCGCCCACTACCACTCCCGTGTCTGTGACTCGGTCTCTCCCAAGGCTCACCGGTACACAACCACGTGCCGCACCTCGGGATGCCCCCTCCAGTGCTCGGCTCGTCCAGAATCAGCAGCAACTCCTTTGGTCAACAGCACAGCACCGCTCTGCACCGCACACCACCGCTCTAATCACTGCGATTCAATCCCAAGACTCAATCCCAAGGCTCACCGGTACACAACCATGGTTTTTCTTGCGAGCGGAGAGGCATAGAGCAGCGGCACGTGCTGCACCTCGGGGTGGCCCCTCCAGTGCTCGTCCAGAATCAGCAGCAGCTCCTGTGCTCGCCCCAGGGCAAAGGCCGGAATCAGCACCCTCCCTCCATTGAGGACGGTACCGACCACAAAGTCAAGGAACCGGCGCTCCCTCACTTCTCTGGGCTCGTGGATCTGAGGAAGTGGAGGGGAGACGAGGAGAACGAATAGGGCGAAGAGTGGAGGATGAGCAGCAGCTCCTGTGCTCGCCCCAGGGCGAACGCCGGGATGAGCACCCTCCCTCCATTGAGGACGGTACCAACAACGAAATCAAGGAAGCGGCGCTCCCTCACTTCTCTTGGCTCGTGGATCTGTGGCGGAGAGAGAGAAAAAGAGAAGGAGAGGAAGAGAGGCGGTGAGTGCTCGTCCAGAATGAGCAGCAACTCCTGGGCTCGCCTTTTGAGTCGACTCAAAAGTCAACTGGGCTCGCCCCAGGGCGAATGCGGGGATGAGCACCCTCCCTCCGTTCAGCACCGTTCCAAGTCGAGGAACCGGCGCTCCCTCACTTCCCTGGGCTCGTGGATCTGAGATGAGAAGATGGGAGAGCGCAGGGGCGAGGAGGAGAGATGAAGTGGAAGAAGAGGCTAAGGGTGGAGAATCAGCGGCAGCAGCTCCCTCCCTTCCCGACCCACAGCAACCAGAGCAAAGGCTGGGATGAGAACCCTCGATAACAAACACAGAGGTCGGGAGAGAAGAAAAGGGCGACACTTTTGTTGCAAGCAAGTGGCAGTCCTCCTTTTTGAGGCGCCTAAAAAAAACAAAGGCTGGGATGAGATGAGAACCCTCAATAACACAACACAGAGGTCCGGAGAGAAGAAAAGGGCGGCACTTCTGCTGCAAGCAAGTGGCGGTCCTCCTCCTCCACCTCAGCTCCGCCTCTCTGCATCAGCACTTTTGCAGGGGAACACTACACCAACAAACAGAGGTGACTTTTGAGTCGACTAAAAAGGCACTTTTGCTGCAAGCGAGTGGCGGTCCTCCACCTCCTCCTCCTCCGCTCCGCCTCTCTGCATCAGCACTTTTGCAGGGGAACACTACACCAACAAACAGAGGTGACTTTTGAGTCGACTAAAAAGGCACTTTTGCTGCAAGCGAGTGGCGGTCCTCCACCTCCTCCTCCTCCGCTCCGCCTCTCTGCATCAGCACTTTTGCAGGGAAACACTACACCAACAAACAGAGGTGACTTTTGAGTCGACTAAAAAGGCACTTTTGCTGCAAGCGAGTGGCGGTCCTCCACCTCCTCCTCCTCCGCTCCGCCTCTCTGCATCAGCACTTTTGCAAGGGAACACTACACCAACAAACCAGCCAATCTCACCTGCACGCCGAATGTGGACTAGATAACACAGAGGTCGGGAGAGAAGGGCCGCACTTTAGCTGCTTTCAAGTTCCTCCTCACGCAGGTAATCCCCCGGTATAGAGCACAGCACCCTCTGAGAAGGAACCATCACCAGATCGCACCTGCACGCCGAATGTGGACTAGATAACACAGAGGTCGGGAGAGAAGGGCCGCACTTCTGCCGCCCGCAAGTGGCCTCTGCTACCTGTAGCCTGTAGGCGACAATCCTCCTCTCCAGTCCAGTACCCTAGGAAGAAACAACTGACCTCTTGAGACGAGTACCATCGTGCCTAACCTGCACACCAAAGGTGGACTCGATGACGCAGAGGTCGGGAGAGGAGAAAGGCACTTCTGCCACCCGCAAGTGGCGGTCCTCCTCGCGCGAGTAATCCCCCGTATAGAGCACTCTGATTCCCGCTATATCCAAGAGCTGGCGTGACAGCCCCGCTCGCTCACCTGTACACCGAACGTGGACTCAATCACGCAAAGGTCCGGAGAAAAAGGTGGCACTTCTGCTGCTCTCAGGTGGCGGTCCTCCTCGCGCGAGTAATCCCCCGTATAGAGCACTCTGATTCCCGCTATATCCACCGCAAACATGGCTGCTCCCAACACGTGCCCCGCCGTGTAGCACCAGAACTTGATGCCATTGACCTCGTGAATCTGATGGAAGTCAATCACCTGGGAGGGGCAGACGGGAGGAGTGGAAGCACAAAGGAGGCAGGGGATTGGCACTCAGCGGCGCTCACAACGCTCCCAGCACACGCCCAGCCGAGCAGCACCCAATGCTCCGTCGCATGATGTTCCTTCCTTCCCAGAACATGACTTTTGAGGCGCCTCAAAATTCGTCGCATGATGTTCCTTCCCATTCCCAGAACATGGCCGCTCCCGCACGTGCCCTGCTGTGTAGTGTAGCACCAGAGCTTGATTCCATTCACCTCGTGCATTTGATGGAAGTCGATCACCTGGGAGAGGCGGAAGGGAGGAGAGGAAGGACACAGGAGGCAGGGGGGGTTAGCACGCAACTTAGAGTGCTCCCAGCACATGCCTAGCAGTGCAGCACTCAATGCTCTTCACGCTGCTCCCAGCACATGCCCTGCCGTGTAACAACAAAAGTTGAAGCCATTGACCTCAGTGAATACAGATGAACCGTGAACCGTGAATGTCAATCCATCCTCTGTTGAAAATCCTGCTCCGTGAACAGAGCATCATTCGCAGCCACCTTGCTTCTGACTCCCCCATACATTCACCCGTTCACTCATTTTTTCACTCACTCCCCCACCTGCTCACACCCACCTCAAATTTCTCCATGCTCTGTTGGATATCTTGCTCCGTGAACAGCGCATCACCCACAGCCGCCTTGCTGAATCTCCCCCTCTATAGCCCTGTCCCTGACTTGACTCCTTCGTCTCATTCGGTCCCTGACTCTCATCCACCCACCTCAATCTTCTCCATGCTCTGTTGGATGTCTTGCTCCGTGAACAAAGCATCATCCACAGCCACCTTGCTGACTCGCACGAAATCCGAGAGCAACAAGCGGTACACTGCCTTGGTGGCATGGGTCATGAACACCCGCCCCTGGAAGTTGGTCTGGAGGTAGAAAGAAGCAAAAGGGGGAGGGGGGGGAGGAGGAAAAAAGGAAAGGAGCAAGCATCATCCACAGCTACCTTGCTGACTCGCACAAAATCAGAGAGCAACAGATGTAGACTGCCTTTGTTGCATGGGTCATGTCATGAACAAGCGGAATTGGAAGTTGGTTTGTGGGGGACAGCAACGAGGTGGAGTGCAGTGGAGTGGGATGGAGTGCGGTACGGATTATGCATGGATGGATCACATTGAACATTCTAAGAGCATAAAACGGGTCCCTTTTAGTTTTTGAATCTTGACTTTCTAATCGAAACGGAAAAAAATAGTCAAGCATACCTTGGAGAGAAAGTATGGCAGCGATGCTGCATGGTCTAGATGGAAGCTGATGGGGGAAAAGGGGATGGAAGGGGAGGGAGGGGGGGAAGGGAGGGGTGGGCAGGCAGGGATGGGTGAACAGTACAGAACAATGGCATACAGAAAAGTTAACACACCAATAACCAGCACTTACTGCATCATCAGATTTTTGAGACGTCTCAAAACTCAATGGCATACGAAAAAGTTAACACACCGACAACCAGCACTTACTGCATCACCACTGGCACTCAGCAAGTTAAAGGCCACAGCCAGAATTACCGAGTCGGCTGGCAAAGTGTCATCACTTTCACGCGATTGGTCCAGACGCGAGTGGGTTTTCCACGCGATTGGTTTTCGATTTTCCCACCGAACCTCCTTCTGGGGTTTCCCAAACCTAAATTTCCACGTTGACTTTGTTGTGTAATTCGGGGTTTGGCCTTTAAAGTAGATAGTTTTTTGTCAACGGCAGTGAACGTAGCAGCAAGGAAACAGCACTCACTGCGTGACGAGCAGCACGTCGATACAGGAGGGATCGATCTTATCAAAGAAGGGCAGCCCACATGAGTCAACTCGAGTCAACTCAAGTCAGCGCAAGTCAGCGCAAGTCAACTCAAGTCAACTCGAGTCAATGCAAGTCAACCAAGCCAACAGCACTCACTGCGTGACGAGCAGCACGTCGATACAGGAGGGGTCGATCTCATCAAAGAAGGGCAGCCCAGCGATGCCTGAGTACGCGGGGTGAATGCCACAGTCAAACTGGCAGTAAAAGAGGGGTTGAGTGGGGTGGAAGGGGATCGAGTGGGGGGGAAGGGGATTGAGTGGGGTGGAAGGGGATTGAGTGGGGGGGAAGGGGATTGAGTGGGGTGGAAGGGGATTGAGTGGGGGGGAAGGGGATTGAGTGGGGTGGAAGGGGATTGAGTGGGGGGGAAGGGGGCTTGAGTGGGGTGGAAGGGGATTGAGTGGGGGGGAAGGGGATTGAGTGGGGTGGAAGGGGATTGAGTGGGGGGGAAGGGGATTGAGTGGGGGGGGAGGGGATGGAAACTAGGCAGGTGACCAAAGACAGGCAGCCCAGCGATGCCTGAGTATGCCACAGTCCGGTGGGGGAATGGGGGGAGGGTGTTGAAATGAAAGGGGGATTGAGTGGGGGCGAAGGGGAAGGAAGCTTCAGTAGTAGGCAAGGCAGATATGCAAGGGGGAATGGACCAGCACGCTCATCCCATCACCAGCACGCTCATCCCATCACCAGCACGCTCATCCCATCACCAGCACGCTCATCCCATCACCAGCACGCTCATCCCATCACCAGCACGTTTTTGATATCATGAAACGATTATGATGCGCCTAGAGGGCCGTTACCAGCACGTTCTTGCCCTTGTACGACATGAACACGCATGATCGCCCCACTTCGTTGCCCCTACTACAGGCATCAGCTTCACCTAAGGCCCATTACCAGCGCGTTCTTGCCCATATACGACAAAGAATGAGCCGCCCAAGGAGTGATTACCAGCACGTTCTTGCCCTTGTACGACATGAACACGCATGATCGCCCCACTTCGTTGCCCGCGCCCAGCGGCATCAGCTCCAGTTTGTCGTGCGCGTCCTCCGCTTGTAACGGATCCTCCTTGCGCTTCGCCATCCCCGATATAGCAACAACGGATTTTTCTCTTCTTCTGCTTCTTCCTTTCTTTCTTTCAGCGTCGTGCGAGGGATAGGACGCGAACGCGGGGAATGTGGAGCAACGAAGGAGGCGGTCAGGAATTTTAATCAGCTCTGAAAGCACGGACTGGTAATCTAACGGTTGAGCTATGACCGTGAAGCGCGAAGATCAAGCTATAGTCGTGATGTTAAGCAAATGGCGAACGGCAACTCTTTCGCGGGCGCGAGAGCGAAGAAAGGTAACCAGGAGGCAGCGACGAAAGTCGCGGGTTATGTAGGGCGGTGGCGGAAGAAATCACGTGGAAAACACTGGCGCCAGCAGTCAAAACCCTAGTGGAGTGGACACTGCACGTGATGGGAAGAGTAACTATCGCAATTATTCCCTGAAGTAAGGAGATGCTACGACGTTGCAGGAGCAGTAGAGCCTACACGCCTGCTAGGTAGCTAACTGAATTAGCTAAAGTTTCTTATCGTTTTTGTATCCTAGCTCAGAAGGGCGTGCTCTGTAAAGGGATATTAAACATTGTTGGCCAACCAGGAAAAAAGAGGTTCGCATTCGGAACGAATTGTGTGGCGTGGTTACCCTTTGCAATGTCGTTTCGAATATGCGAAACTTGAACGACAGAGAATTATGCGAGCATCGAAGACCGTAACAACAGCCCGTGTTCAAAACTCGACGACGTGAGGGTCAGCTCGAGTCGAATTCACGACCCGCAGTCACTTCATCTCGAATAAGGTTCGTTTGCAATGGAGAATTGTGCAGTCTTTATTCGTGGAAATTGTCCTTGCAAATTGAAACCGGAACTCTGATTCTGATTGAGAATCAGCCATGGAGCTCTTTCGATTTTCGAACCGCAGGAAATTATGAAATCCAGGAAACACAGGCATTCAGGGAGTTTAGGGTAGGGAAGGGACGCGAGTTGCTAGGGAATACAGGGTAAGGAGAGTCGAGCTCTGGAGATTCAGTTTCCAGGATCGCAACATCGAAAGACGGGACGCACGCGTAAACTGAACAAGCAACGTCTGTTCAGGCGCGTCGACCGACGGACACGGTATTCCTCCTGCGTCCTTCCCTCGAATCAGGTCTCATTGGAACTTCGGTTCGTTGTGCGTGTTACCGAAACTTGGAACCGAAATCCGTTTCAGAATAGCTCCATAGATTCATTCGAGTCCTGGAAATTTTCTCCACGATAGCTCCGTATATTCTACCGCCATGGCGGTGCCAGCGACGCCGGATTCCGTCAGGCACGTTCCTGCTGACCCTGTGGCAGCAGCGCTAGCGGCGGCAGCGTCGGCGAGCCCGGCCGTGAAGCGCGCTGAGCTGCGAGCCGCTGTGGGGGAGCTGCGTGACCGATGCTTGTTCCAGGCGTCAGCGTGGTGAGTCGAGTCAACGTTCAGACAGGCCAAGCTCCCTGATTGTTGCTTCTCTACTCCTTCTCCCATTCGCCCAAGGTTCCCAATGCGAGTTGACTTTTGAGTTGACTCAAAAGTCAACTCGGTGAGTCGAGTCAACGTCCAGTCAGGCCAAGCTCCCTGATTGTTTCTTCTCTACTCCTTCTCCCATTCGCCCAAGGTTCCCAATGCGTCCAATGTTTATTATTACCGTCTCCATAGTTTCCACCTCCCCTACATTTCCAGCATTGTATTTCCTTTCTACGTTTCCAGCATTGTCCCATGAATTTCAGTGTATTCTGTTGTTTCCAACGTCCCTGCAGTGAACGTACTTACTGGCCTGCCAGCCATTCCGTCTGCCCACTGTGCTAGACCCAATGCCGACCATTTTCTCATTGCTTATCCACCACTTCTATTGTCCACCTCCCTCTCCTCTTCTCCTCCTGATTCTACAGGGCCGCAGAGCAGCTAATCGGCTTGCCTGCCATGCCCTCCCAGTAAGCCGCTGCAGCAGGGGACGGCAGAAAGGAGCGAGGAGGAAGGGACGGGCAAGCAGGAGCAGCCATAGCGTCATTGTAACCACCTCTCTCTCTCCCCTCTCTCGGTCTTCTCCTCATTCCAGGACAGCATAGCAACTGGTCGGCTTGCCAGCCATGCCTTCCCAGTCAAGCCCTGCAGCCGGGGACAGTAGAGAGGAGTGAGGAGGAAGGGACGGGCAGGCAGGGGCTGCCAAGGCAGAGACGAAGACAGGGCACTGTAACCACCTCTCTCAACCCCCCTTCTCCCCCGCTACCTCATTCCAGGGCAGCAGAGCAATTGACAGGCTTGCCCGCCATGCTGTCCCAGTCAAACCCTGCAGCCGGTGACAGCAGAGAGGAGCGAGGAGGAAGGGACGGGCAGGCAGGGGCTGCCAAGGCAGAGACGCGGACAGGGCACTGTAACCACCTCTCTCAACCCCCCTTCTCCTCCGTTTCCTCACTCCAGGGCAGTAGAGCAATTGACAGGCTTGCCCGCCATGCCGTCCCAGTCAAACTCTGCAGCCGGGGACAGCAGAGAGGAGCGAGGAGGAAGGGACGGGCAGGCAGGGGCTGCCAAGGCAGAGACGCGGACCGGGCACTGTAACCACCTCTCTCAACCCCCCTTCTCCCCCCGTTACCTCATTCCAGGGCAGCAGAGCAATTGACAGGCTTGCCCGCCATGCCGTCCCAGTCAAACCCTGCAGCCGGGGACAGTAGAGAGGAGCGAGGAGGAAGGGACGGGCAGGCAGGGATAAGCAAGGCAGAGACGCGGACAGGCGATGCAGCAGGGACGAAGGGGACAGGAGGGATGATGGGAGAGGCGGAAGGAGAGGCGAAGGGTGGGGCGAAAGGGCAAGAGGCAATGGAGAAGGAGGAGGATTCGGACGAGGTGTTGTTTGCGCGGTCTCTCTTTGATGTGAGGGAGTTTAGGAGGGCGGCGCATGTTCTGGAAGGGGTGGGAGGGCGGAGGGCACTGTTCCTGCGCTGCTATGCGCTCTACCTGGTGAGTGAGACATTGATTGAGGCACCTCGAATTCTGCTTTACATGGTGAGGAGGCGTGGGGAGTCTATTAAGTGGACCTTAAATTTTACAATCGTGGGGCTGTTTTTGAGTCGACTAAAAAAAAGTGGACCTTAGAATCTATTTGTGGGGCTTAAAATAAAAGTTCTGTTACGTGAAGTGAAGTACTGTACTTGGTTGGTGGATAGGCAAATTCTTCCCTTCCCAGTAACTACCAGCAGCACCCCCTCAACCATCCCTCCCATCCCTTCAATCCTCCCCACTCCTGCAGGCAGGGGAGAAGCGCAAAGAGGAGACCGTCCTAGAGACCTCCTTCCAGCAGCAGACCAGACCCTTCCAGGATCCAACCAACCAGCACCACCAGCAGCCGCAGCACTTTCTCACCCACCAATCGCTTCCTATCTCTACGAATCTTCCCCACCCGTGCAGGCAGGGGAGAAGCGCAAAGAAGAGATCATCCTAGAGACCTCCTTCCAGCAGCAGACCAGACCCTTCCAGGATCCAACCAACCAGCACCACCAGCAGCCGCAGCCCTTTCTCACCCACCAACCGCTTCCTATCTCTACAAATCTTCCCCGCTCTTGCAGGCAGGGGAGAAGCGCAAAGAAGAGATTATTCTAGAGACGTTCTCTCAACAGCAGACCCTCCCAGGAAATAATCAGCAGCTGCAGCAGATTCCTTTCCCTGCCCGCCCCACCACCTCTCTTCTCTCCCTTATTAATTCCCCCCAACTCCTCAGGCAGGGGAAAAGCGCAAGGACAAAATCATTGTAAAGAGGTCTGGCCAGCAGCAGCAGACCCTCCCGGACACCAACCAACCACAAACCACCAACCACCAACCACCAACTACCACCCACACCTGCAGCACCCACGCGCCCACCACTCTCCTTCCTTTTCAATGTGTCCCCCCTCACCCCTGCAGGCAGGGGAGAAGCGCAAGGAAGAGATCATTCTAGAAACCTCCTCTCAGCAGCAGACCCTCCCCGGAACAAACCAGCAGCAGCAGCAGATTCCCTTCCCTGCCCACCCCACCACCTCCTCCCCGGACAATCCCGCGTCTCCTGTGGCCAATCCTGAGCTGCCACGTGTCCAGGCTGAGCTGGAGCGGGAGCGGGCGGCGGGAAGGCTGGATGCGTGGGAGAGGTATCTTCTGGGGGTGGTGTTGGCGCAGAGGGGGAGGGAGGGGGAGGCACGGGTGTTGCTGTGTGAGAGTGTGCGGGAATACCCTTGGAACTGGGCTGCATGGCAGCAGATCGAGGTGAGAAAGGCGTATCCCTGGCAGGGAGAGTGTAGGAGGGTATGAGGGGGAGGCGCGGGGGATGCTGTGTGAGAGTGTGCGGGAGTATCCTTGGAACTGGGCTGCGTGGCAACAGATCGATGTGAGAGATAGAGAGAGGTAGGCACAAAGACAAGCGCACATACTCACACCCAATCAAAGGGAGGCGTGGCGGGGGGGGGTGCTGTGTGAAATTGTGCGGGAGTATTCTTGGAATTGGGCGACCTTGCAGCAGATAGAGGTGAGTAGTAAAGTATTTATCCCTGGCAGTGACTTGTGAGGCGCCTTAAAAGGCTGGATGCGTGGGGAAGGTATCTTCTGGGGGTGGTGTTGGCGCAGCAGAGGGGGCGGGAAGGGGAGGCGCGGGTGTTTCTGTGTGAAAGCGTGAGGGAGTACCCTTGGAATCGGGCGGCCTGGCAACAGATAGAGGTGAGCGAGGGAGAGAGGCACACTGACAAACGCACATCCCCACATCCAGGGAGGGGGAGGGCGTGGGGAGTGCTGTGTGAAAGCGTGAGGGAGTATCCTTGGAATTGGGCGGCTTGGCAGCAGATAGAGGTGAGAGGTAGTCGCAGACAGGCATACAGACAATCGCACACTCACGCCCAGTGATGGATAATGTGAGGGGGAGGCGCAGCCGCGCAGGTGTGAGGGAGCACCCTTGGAACTGGGCTGCATGGCAACAGATTTATGAGAGGGTAGTATCCCTGGGGAGTGATAGTGGGGGAGGGTACGAGGAAGATGGTGAGGGGTGCTGTGCTGTGTGAGAGTGTGAGGGAGGGAGTACCCTTGAAATTGGGCTGCATGCATGGCAGCAGATAGAGGTGAGTGACTGAGACACACAGGCACATAGGCTAATGCACACACTCACACGCAATGAGGGAGAGCGCGAAACCTACCTTCGCTCCTCCCCTCCCTCCCCTTTCACCCAATAGCCCCCTTCTCCTCTCTCTCCTCCCCTCCCTGTTTGGTTTGTAAGTCTTTTCCAATCATTCTCGATCAGGCCACGTCCCCCATCACCCAATCTCTCCACCCTCCTTCACCCACCTTCCCACCCCCCTTCACCCTCCCCCCCACCCCTCCTTCACCCTCCCCCCCACCCCTCCTTCACCCTCCCCCCCACCCCTCCTTCACCCTCCCCCCCTTCCCTCACCCAACTTTCCCCTTCTCTATAACCTTCCAATCCCCCTGTGTCTAGACCATGACACATACCTTTCTCCCCTCCCCTCCCTCCCTTCCCATTGGGTGACCCTCTTCGCCCTCTCCTCCTGCGTTGTCGCCCCCCCAACCCCCTTCCCTCTCCCCCTCCTCCCCTTACAGGCCCTCTGTCTCGACCATGATACCTACCTCTCGCTCCTCCCCGCCCTCCCTTGCCACTGGATGACCCTATTCGCCCTCTCCTCCCTCCTCCTCTCCCTCCACCGCAACCCCGAAGCCCTCTCCCTCTGCCTGCACCTCGCCTCCCCCCCTTCCTCCTCCTCCACCTCCTCCGCCTCCTCCTCATCCTTCTCTCACTCCCTCTCTCACTCAACGCAACATGCAGAGGGCGAGCAGGGGGGCAGGGGGGGGTTGAGGGATGGAGATGGGGGAGAAGGAAAGGGTCAGGGAGAGGCGACCGAAGGGAGGAGAGGAGGAGGAGAGAGAACAGGAGCAGCGACAGGAGGGGGAGTAGCAGGAGGAGCAACAGCAGGAGGGGCAGTAGGAGGAGGAGGGGGAGGTGGGGGCTTTCCACACAGCACGTGGGTGGCGGCAGCGACAGCAACGGCTCACTACAACCTGAGGGACTTTGACTCGGCAGAAGCGGTGTTCACCGAGTTGACTGGCGTTGACCCGTACAGGCTGGAGGCCATGGACACGTTTTCCAACATCTTATATGTTAAAGAGGACTTTGCTGGGCTCAGTCACTTGGCGCACCGGGTGAGTGAACTAGGCAGCAGTGACAGCAACGGCTCACTACAACCTGAGGGACTTTGACTCGGCAGAAGTGGTGTTCACTGAGTTGACCAGCGTTGACCCATACAGGCTGGAGGCCATGGACACGTTTTCCAACATTCTCTATGTTGAGGAGGACTTTGCCGGGCTCAGTCACTTGGCTCACAGGGTGAGTTGACTGGCGTTGACTGGTGTTCACAGAGTTGACCAGCATTGACCCGTACAGGCTAGAAGCTATGGACACGTTTTCCAACATTCTCTATGTGAAGGAAGACTTTGCTGGGCTCTCCCACCTGGCGCACAGGGTGAGTTTGACTGGCGTTGACCCGTACAGACTGGAGGCCATGGACACGTTCAAATATTCTCTATGTGAAGGAGGACTTCGCTGGGCTCTCCCACATGGCGCACAGGGTGAGTGAATTAGGGCGTTGACCAGCGTTGACCAGAGTTGACCAGCGTTGACCCGTACAGACTGGAGGCCATGGACACTCTTTCAAATATACTTTTATGTGAAGGAGGACTTTGCCGGGCTCTCCCACCTGGCACACCAGGTAAGTTGACTGGCGTTGACTAGTGGTTGACTAGCGTTGACCAGGGTTGACCCGTACGGGCTGGAGGCCATGGACACGTTTTCAAACATTCTATACGTGAAAGATGACTTTGCAGGGCTTAGTCACCTGGCGCACTGGGTGAGTTGACTGGCGTTGACTTCATTAGTCTTTTATCTGCCACCCAAGCCATCCAGATTTGCTGGAATGCCTTCTTTTTCCTTCACCCTTGCCTTTCACGCCCTCCCATCCCCTCTCCTCCCTCATAGGTCACTAAGATTGACAAGTACCGCCCAGAGACCTGCTGCATCGTCGGAAATTACTTCTCCCTAAAGGGCCGCCACAAGCGAGCAGTAGCCTACTTCCGCCGGGCCCTGCGCCTCGACCGCTGCTAACTCTCCGCTGATGGGGCACTGATGGATGGGACGCTGTTGGCGTGGACGCTGATGGGGCACGAATCAGTGGAGAATCTTGTCTCCTCATGTCCTCCACGCCTTCCCTCTATCCCATCCCCTGCTTCATCCCATCCCCTCTCCATCCTCCGCCCAGGTGACTAAGATTGACAAGTATCGCCCTGAAACCTGTTGCATCGTCGGAAATTATTTCTCCCTAAAGGGCCGCCACGAGCGAGCAGTGGCCTACTTCCGCCGGGCCCTGCGCCTCGACCGCTGCTACCTGTCGGCGTGGACGCTGATGGGGCACGAGTATGTGGAGATGAAGAACAGCGCCGGGGCCATTCAAGCGTATAGGCGGGCGGTGGACATCAACCCGAGGGATTATCGCGCGTGGTACGGGCTCGGGCAGACGTATGAGATTCTTGCCATGCCCTACTACGCCCTTTACTACTACCGGTGAGTGCCCGGGTTTAGGATATGGGATTTCAGGGTTCAGGGTTTCAGATCTAGTGTTTCGGAGGGCCAATGCTCAACCGCTGCTACCTGTCGGCGTGGACGCTGATGGGGCACGAGTATGTGGAGATGAAGAACAGCGCCGGGGCCATTCAGGCGTACAGGCGGGCGGTGGACATCAACCCGAGGGACTATCGCGCGTGGTATGGGCTCGGGCAGACGTATGAGATTCTTGCGATGCCCTACTACGCCCTCTACTACTACTGGTGAGTGCCTGGTGCAGGGTTTGGGGTTTCAGACGGGAAAGGCTCCTTGCCACGCCCTACTACACCCTACTCCTTAGACGTATGAGATCCTTGCCATGCCATACTACGCCCTCTACTACTACCGGTGAGTGCCCGTGTTAGAGTTTGGGGCTTTCCGGGATTGTTCTGAGACCAGACATCTCAAAACAAACATCTCAGGAGTTGTTTCGGGCATCTGGTGCATCTGGTGGCTTTTCGGAATCTCCAGCTGTTTTTAGGTGCCTCAGAAGTTAGCTCGCTCGAATGTCTGATTTTGAGATGTCTCAGGACTGTACTTTTACCTAGGAGGGCATGCACCACCTGCAGCTGCAGCTGCTGCATCAGTGCCCTCTGATTTCGCCACGAGGGCATCAGCTGCAGCTGCCAGCAGCAGCCATCCGCTGCTATCACCAACCTCTCTCCCTCTCTCCCCTCTATGTCCTCATTCCCTATCCCCTGTCCCATCCTCCATCCTATCCCCTGCAGCAAAGCAGCCTCCCTGCGCCCACACGACTCGCGCATGTGGTGTGCCATGGGGCAGTGCTACGAGGCACAGCAGCTGCAGCAGCCGGAAGCAGCCATCCGCTGCTACCACCTCATTCGCTCCCTCTGTGTCCCACTGTCCCTCTTCCCACCCTCAACCATGCAGCAAAGCAGCCTCCCTGCGCCCACACGACTCGCGCATGTGGTGTGCCATGGGGCAGTGCTACGAGGCACAGCAGCTGCAGCAGCCGGAAGCAGCCATCCGCTGCTACCGCCGCGCCGTCGCCAGCAATGAGAGCGAGGGGTTGGCCCTGCACAAGCTGTCGAAGCTGTATGAGGGATTGGGGCAGATGAAGCAGGCCGCACACTTTTACAAGTGAGTCTTATAGGATTTGGTGAGGTGATACGGTTTGTAGTATAAGGCTCTGCACAAGCTGCAGCAGCCAGAAGCAGCCATCCGCTGCTACCGCCGCGGCGTCGCCAGCAACGAGAGCGAAGGCCTGGCTTTACACAAGCTGTCGAAGCTGTATGAGGGATTGGGGCAGATGAGGCAGGCGGCTAATTTTTACAAGTGAGTTTAAAGGAGAGGAAAGACACAAAGTGAATTTAGTTTCACATTATCAACTCTATTTGTGTGCTCCTCTCCCTGCAGGCGCAATCTGGACCGCATGGACTCGGAGCAAGGGGGGGGGAACCGGAGCTGGTGGAGGGACCGGAGCTGGTGGAGTCGCTTTTCTTCCTGGCCACACACCATCCGCTTTTGTTCTATCTATGTACCGTCCACTGCTCATTGCTGTTCGCCCTCTCCCTGCAGGCGCAATCTGGACCGCATGGACTCGGAGCAGGTGGAGGGACCGGAGCTGGTGGAGTCGCTTTTCTTCCTGGCCACACACCATCCGCTTTCGTTCTATCTATGTGCCGCCCACTGCTCATTGCTGTTCGCCCTCTCCCTGCAGGCGCAATCTGGACCGCATGGACTCGGAGCAGGTGGAGGGGCCGGAGCTGGTGGAGGCGCTGCTCTTCCTGGCAACGCACCATCGCTCTGAGGGGAGTTTGGCAGAGGCAGAGCGATACTCCACCCGCCTGCTCGACTTCGGTGGCCCTGTAAGTTGAATTCTGTCTGGATTGGGATGGACGAGTGGTTGGTACGCTGCACATCAGGAAGGGCTGGTGGAGGCGCTTCTCTTTCTGGCGACGCACTACCGCTCTGGAGGCAGTCATGCGGGAGCGGAGCGATATTCCACCCGCCTGCTCGACTTTGGTGGACCAGTGAGTTGAATACCGGGTTGGGATGGAGGGAAATCATGCTGCGCTATGGGAAGGGCTGGTGGAAACACTGCTCTTCCTGGCCACATACCATCGCTCCGAGGGCAGTTTCGTGGAGGCCGAGCGATATTCCACTCGCCTGCTCAACAACGGGGGCCCGGTAAGTTGAATATCGGCTTTGGTGGAGGATATGTTGTGTGTGGTTGTCTTCCTACGATGCAAGCTTCTTGCTTTTCCTTCGCATAACCCTTTTGATTGTTTATGCTGTGTTGAACCTTGCACCGTTGAAGGCAAACTCGTGTTAGCTGACGGTCTGATTCTCTCGGGCCTTAATCGCAGGCGAAGGAGGATGCCAAGGCTCTACTACGGGAGATTCGGAGTGTGCACCAGCACGAGCATCAGCAGCATCGCCACCATGGCATGGGGGCATTGTCGTCCTTGGAATTGGAGAGTGGGGATGAGGATGAGGATGGGAATGGTGAAAGTGATGATGACGAAGATATGGACCTTGAGGGTGGTTTCTAGCCAGCTTGGGAGGATATGATTGTGTCCACAAATTTGAGATGATCGTGTCCACTGTCCAGCATGGAAAAACATGATGTGCAGGATATTGCATACTTCATTTGCAAAAAGGGGTTGTGGATTCTAAATGAATTGAAGTTTTCTGGTTTAGAGGTTTGCTTGGTTTAGGGTAATAACGATCAACCAACGGAGCAATAACGGAAATCCAACTTGCCGCGGCAAAGTGCTCTCATTGGGCAACGTCAGGCGGGAGTTTTCATCTTGCGAAAATATCTTCCATGTTCATAGTTCGACCGCTTTAGATCGCAAAGGAACGCACTGAGCTGCCGTGGGAAATGCGTTTGGGTCAGCACCTCAGACTAGGTTCGGCCTATGGCATGACGAGCCACGAACCACACACCACAGCGACCTTCATGAAAGGGGGTATCATATATTTACATGAAGTCTCTCGTGGTAGCTCAAGAGGGAGAATGCGAGAGCCAAAACACGAAATTGGTGAGAAAGGAGTTCGCTTTGGAACACTGCAGAAAATTACAGCGCAAGTCCTGCCTATTTGTGAACACTTCCTCGGTCTGAACTAGGCTGCAGTATGCTCCATATCAGCCAGCCTCGGAGGAGGGCAGGCTTGGTTGGGTTTCGCGCCTTTTCCCAAACCGAGATCTAGTCCTTGTGTCAGTACCCTGACAAACCGTATCGAATGTTAATTGAAACGCTTTAATTCGTAATACATCTCTCTGAAACGCACTAAGACGAACTGAGATCCGTCTTTGCACCACCCTCAAACCTTCTCAACCACATCTGGGCAATCACGTATCTGTCAGGTCCGCTCCCTCCATTGCATCACCTTCAGGCTCGAACGCCTTCTTTCTCCCTCCATTGGATCACCTTCAACCTCTTCTTTCCTCCTCCCTCCCATTACATCACCTTCACTTCAACCTTCTCTCCTGCAGCTCAAGCGAGGGTTTCGTTCACTCACATTCGTCTTCTTTTCAAGAACCTTTTTGAACTTTCTCCAGACCGATTCGCAAGCTCTTTGCAGCATCACCCTCGGACTCCCATTCCACGACCAACCTGAACAAAAGGATGTCGGATGAAACAGGCGAGTGATAGCTGTCTATTCTTCTCAACTTGTGCTCGGCTGGTATTTGGTGCATCGGTATCGACGACTGAGAGCAGTTAGGTTAGGTTTAGAGCCTTCTTTCTCACAGCCGTGCAAGGTTCACCTGGTTTTCTAGCTCTGGGCGCGAACATTTACTTCTGAGCCTGATCCTTTAGCTGTTGGCGTGATATTTTCATCGTTGAAGCTGTAAATGTTGATGCCGTTTTGGATAAGTTACTCTAGAAGAATCGTTCCTTATCAACTACTGTGATTCGTATTTCTTTTGAGTCGACGTAAAGCGAGGTGACTTGTTAGTCGACTGATAAGTTATTTCGATCCTTG